CGGAACCGGAACCGGAACCGGAATACTCGGAATTCCCGGAATGACCGAAAAATAATAAATTTTAAAAAGATAAAAGTAAATGAATAAATAAATGAGAATATTGATGATTAAAAATTAATGGTAAATTCACAACTTAATTAAATAATTTAATACGAAATTTTTCTCTCAGGATCCCCCAAAAATCACTTACCGGCACGCACTGTTCATGGAGATACACCTATTAGAATTTAAAAAAAGTCTGCGTCAGGCCAGTAGCCCATACAGCCTAAGCGATGAAATATTTGTACTCTCCCTTCCCCCTGGATGGGATGCTAATCCATGACATGGTTTCTCCCCGTTTTAAATTCGCCTCCACCCATTTACACACCTGTATGATGTCTGGGGGGGCCATGACCATTAGGCCGCCACGCTTTTCCAACCGGAACCATTGCAGAAGAACCATTCCAATTAGTTTAATAGTTCAATTGTACCTTTCATTCACTGATGGATTCTTCTAAACTAGGTTGATATTTAAAGGTATATATTCAAGGTATTTAAAATAAACGCGAAAAGGTGTCGAGTAACTGACGAACTCTCAATTGTAACTGTAGACGGCTGGTCTTAATGGTAGCTGCTTTGATAGCTCCCAATGTGTGGTTAATAATTATTTAAGGTAGAGTATTAATTTGTAATAGCTCGGAGTTTTTTACAATTGAACTATTAAACTAATTGGAAATATTGCATTTGTTTAATCTTCTGCAATGGTTCCGGCTGGAAAAGCGTGGCGGCCTAATGGTCATGGCGCCCTAGCATCCTACAGGTGTGTAAATGGGTGGAGGCGAATTTAAAACGGGGAGAAACCATGTCATGGATTAGCATCCCATCCAGGGGGAAGGGAGAGTACAAATATTTCATCGCTTAGGCTGTATGGGCTACTGGCCTGACGCAGACTTTTTTTAAATTCTAATAGGTGTATCTCCATGAACAGTGCGTGCCGGTAAGTGATTTTTGGGGGATCCTGAGAGAAAAATTTCGTATTAAATTATTTAATTAAGTTGTGAATTTACCATTAATTTTTAATCATCAATATTCTCATTTATTTATTCATTTACTTTTATCTTTTTAAAATTTATTATTTTTCGGTCATTCCGGGAATTCCGAGTATTCCGGTTCCGGTTCCGGTTCCGTATTCCGGCATCCTATCTTTTCCAAACTACCGCTGATATGTACGTCATCGTATCGCTTCTATTCTGATAATGATCCTCCAAATCATGTGTTTGCATTTCCGTTGTCGCACAACAAAATTGCGGGTAATTTTCTGTTTTTGTTTTGGAGAAAGAGAGCCTATCCGCATTAGCAAAAACATTCTTTATTTTATACAAGTTTATTGTCATCACCCACCTTTTTCAAGTGGTAAAGGTTGTCACGACTTAACAAATTTTGGCCGAAGCGAAAAAATCTTCAGACACACCGCCGACAAAATTTGTACTGCGCAAAAACTTGAAAAAATCGTTTAAATAAAAATAAACAAAACCGTGACAGCGCCGACGGAATCTGACAGCTTTAATGCGGTGCAACAGACGAAACAAAAATTTGTCATGACAACATTTGCCCTTTGATTTTGTCGGGACAATCTAGTTTTTTTCGCCAGCGCGACGAAATAGAGACGATTGAGGATAATGACTATAGTTTGCTCTATTTAGAAATCTTATCACCGTTAAATGTTTTATTTGCGAAAATCATAAAGGCTTGTGCAGGAGTTTCTCGCAAAAGTTGCGCGTTTCGTATGAAAAAGGTCAAAGAACACTGTTTGGTTATTTTGGCTGCTTCAGTCGCTCGGCAGGCAGCTTTTCTTTCTTTCATCGCATGCTGACGAGACCGCGTTCCGTCCGAGCTGTTATATTTCTCGACCTGAGATCAATTATCATCAAGTAATTCATAGTAATTCTTCGTCAGAGGCAAATAATAAAAGTAACGACCGTTCTCGTTGTTGGAAGGAAACATTCAAATTCCCATCTAAATCTAGGTTTCCTCATTAAGAAAATATTCCGAGAGGATGAAGAAATCAAAACTCTACTAACTAACGGAAATGGTAAAAATCTTAACAGTCCTCGTCATTTTCCTTTGCATGCACAAGATTTTGACTGCTTTCATCCTAAAGAGCAAATAATGCTATCAAGAGAATTAAGAGCAGATGATACAGGGCGCGCTGTTTTTAGGTAAGCTCATTCATCTTGAAAACACAACCGAACCCTTAAGCAATGGAGTTTCCGTCATGCCACACGGAAATGAGCTTCTACGCGACCGAACTTTTGGTCACTTAGAAAAATTCCTCCCCCGTAAAATTTACCAGGGGGAATAAGATCAAGGTTTCATTTTTTTTTTTTTTTTTTTTTTTTTTCATAAGAGATCTAAAGCATCCGATTGTCAGGACGAACACTTTAACCTGGGTCAAAGTTACGTTTAAAAAAATAGCATTGCTCTGCCGCATGAAATCATCTGTCAAAGGCCGCCGGATTAATGTCAAATATAATAATTCAAGACCAAATTGTTCGCGTCTGTTTCCTTTGCGTTGTAAATCGGTTTAAGTTATGAAACAAGGGAACATGCTTTGACGAGCGCATTGATGAGCCCGTGGGCACGAAAAGGTCGGATGAAATGTGAGCATAATAGTGTTTAGGACGCATTATCAGCAAGTACGGCTCACCAAAGGGTCACTTTAGGAATTGCTTGAAAGTAGATCTTGTGTATACAAACAAAGCTTATAACAAGCCTCTAAACCGTGTAACTAAAAAAGCCTAACCAACGGCTCGAAGGTTTGAGTAATAATCTTCTCTGATCTCTTGAAGGCGCGGTAACGCCTACTTACAAGTTACAGTACTTACGGCCGGCAACTCTGCCTCTGTAAATGAGCCATAACACCAGAGTAACGAGGAAAAGAGTCTTCATAGCGCAGGTCGCCCAGGACTGTCCAGGAGAAGTTCCGGGTAATGAGCGGAGAACCAACACAGAGTTTAACTCAGCTGTGTGCAGGAGATTTTGCTGGCGATGTGATAAATCGAAATCTGATACCTTCGAAGGTTAACATTCATCAAACGAGCTCTTTGTTCCCTATGCCTCTCCTGTAATATTAAATACTCGCTAAATGTTTTAACCTCTAACTGATTGACAAAAAAAATGTTATGCGGAAATAACTGAAGCTCCAAAGGAACACTCAAGTTAAAAATATTTTCTCGAACACACACTAGGAAAAATCCATCTGTAGCTATGGCATGAAAAGCTTCGAAATAGAAGCAAAAGGTAAACAACAGACTGTAAACTTCCCTTAACAGCAGGAACCCGACAAATATTTCATCAGGATGGAAAACAAGTTTTCTTTGTTTTCTGCCGACTACCTCAAAAACTTTTAAACGCTTAACTGGACATTACGAACTTCTGCAACGAGTTTCTCTGCACCTAATTCGTTCGCACATTATTGACCGCTAGTGCCAGGGAAGGTTCACACACCTTGAATATGGAATGCTAAGAAAGGATTGTAACCTAGAAGTGTAATTCACAAGTGATGAGACGAAGACTTTCATCCAATTTCATTCCTGGCTGCCATACTTCCGGTAAAAAACCTCGAGAAAATTCTCCCATGCACTTAGATACTGCCCAGACTACTGCAGTGTCTGACGATTTGTATAAGGCATGGGTCGCACTTGGCAAAGTTTGGTGTGAATGTGGTCACTTTGGTGTAAAAATCTGTCATCGGGGCACATTGACAATGCGACCCTAACTTTTTCGGTTTGCAAAAACCTTTGAAAAGCGGCCAAAACATCAAAGACGCCGAAGTGCTTAGGTGGGGCAGGCAGATTTCGGAAAACTCGGACTAAACAATAGCTATCACAGCGAGTAACTGTCATCGCTTGTCAGTAAACTGCAAACGACTCGACTGGTCGCAGAACTGACCAGGCATATGGCGCTTGAAGTAATCTTCGTTGACGTCGATTTCTCGCTCTCATCATAGCGGCAGTCAAAACAGTTAAACAGGCGTTAACACATCTTTCATAGATCATATGAAAGACAAAAAAGTGCTCGTGATTTAACTTAAAAAGAAGAATAAGCATCACCATGATCGTTATTAACAATGCTTCAACGGGACGCATTTTTTTAACGTTTGTTTTCCTTTTTCAGCTCACTGCTCTCTCCCCATAACACGTCGATAAACGTGTGTCTGGTTTATCAAAGTGTCATCACTAACATTTTTTTCACCTAGTGCGACCCTGATAGTTGAAACCAAAAGTTTGCTTTCCGGTTGCGGTTTCAAATTTTCTGTGTATTTTTTGCCGGCAAAGTTGAAAACTTTGCCAAAGTACGACCCATACCCAACAGTCGAATCAAGGCTAACTTCAGCTAAACCGCAATAAAAACAAAACAAAACTTCATACTAGTTAAAAAAGAAAACAAAACAGAAAAATACGCACGCTGTCCACTTAAGTGAAAATTAGAGATGGATGGCAAAACAATAGTTGCATCGTAAAGTTTTACGGCCGCCTCTCGTTTTCTGTTGGTCTATCTGAAGAAGGGGGAAAGTGAGGTAAAGGCGGAATGGGTCCATTTTCCCGGCTGTATCGCTGCCCATACAGGTGTGTTTTGTCAGGCATGTTTTTTTTTATTTTTAACTCGGCTTCTTTTCTCTGAGCTAAAAAGACATGGAACAGAGCTTAGAATTCTTGTTCACTTTAGTAAATCGCAACCATCTTAGACTGAAACCACAGCGGGCGGCACACAAGTGGAGTGTCTGGTCGTTTGTTCGAAATATAAAGAAATGTATGGGAGAATATTGAAGATTCGTAATATCGTAGCCTTATATCAAGGAATGTCTATGTTAAGGCTCAAAATAAATGTAAGCCTACCTTACTTGCCGTGTATTGTCATTTCTGTGGTTCTAAATGGCGAATTTGAGCGATTTGGTAGATTTTTGCGTTGACTGTTACTCTACTGTATAAGAAGGAGACTAGGGTGGAAAGCTCATTTTCGACCCCTCAGCTCTCGAAGCCGATTTTCACCCAGAAATTAGAATTAAACCTCTTTGTTCGCGTAACCCAATGATCTCTGAGAGGATCCTTGTGATTATTTTCGAATGTGGTTCTAAATGAGTGAGAATGACTGAGCTGAACGGTAAAGAGAAGGAAGGGTTGAAGAGGGGCCGTAAGGGGGTTTCACGTGAAACGTGATCGGACTAATTTATTTTCTGTGATCCGTAATCTAAAAGTTTTAAAATTCGTGAACCGTGAATGATATGATTGTCGTGATACGTGAAACAGAGAAATATTTTCCGATACACGTGATAACAAACACGAAAACGACCCTTTTTCCGTGAACGGCTACGAAGACCCCACAAAGGAACTCTCCAGGAGATCGCCGTGTCTGTTTTCTTCAGCTTGCATGACCAAACAATAGGGTTTCGCATGACCCGTTGATCCAAAAATAAAGCTGATGCGACCTTTGACACCAACGATCAGGTCTTCAGATCATTCATTGTCTGACGTCTTGTCTTCATTTCTCACGACCCAG